AGAAGGCTTGAGAACCAGGGGAAAGGGGCCTGGAGTTTAACTCATTCTTTCTGACTGTCCCAGTTCATTCTTTTATTTCCTGGTATTCAGAGATACAAATAATCCTTTTAAGTAGGGCATTTCTAAAAATCCCTATAAATCAATTTGCCTACTTCAAGTGAGCCTTTCTCTGGTCATTGCAAAGCAGGATTTTTATAAGCATGCTTATTCCAAACATGAACAGAGTAAAATAAGCCTTTTAAGAAAGTTACCTGCTGGTAGACTTCTTGTATTCTTCTACCATTAAAGCCAGTGGTGAACCACATGCCAACTTTGAGCCTGTGTTATATAGGAACTCAGAATTTGCAGTGAGAATTTGGAATTTTCCCTGCGAACCCAATCCCACTGAGTCAAAGGACATGTTTTATCAAACATTCAGGGTCTCTTACCTAATCAAAGGTGGCCACAGATCTTCCAACAAATTCAGCATCAGAAGGACTCACATGAGGTATACCATCTTTATTGCCAAATTGTTGAAATAAAAAAGAAATCAAGGCCCAAAAGAACATGCCAATTCATAAATATAGAATTAGCTATTTTTACTACTGAGAAAATGCATGCAGACATAGCCCGTAAGTGACTACAGAACTATAATGAATTTTCTTCTCTATTTATATGGAATTAAAACTTCAGTTCTTAAACATCATCCTACTTATTTTAGTAAATACTCAACTGATAGTTCATTTGCACCAGGAGCTGCAGTGTGTTTGCTCTGATGTCCTGTTTTTATAATTCTTTATCAGAACCTCCTACAAGTATTGTATCCAGCCCATGTGATGATGCACATCCTTCAACACGCCTCAGTAAGGGGAGATTAAGTTCATTCTCCTAAAGCTCTCCTAGTCTGGAGAAGTCCCAGCTGCAGTTTGGAACCACCAGTCATTTATCTGCTTAGGCTTTTAATATTTCTGGGGATGATTCTGGGCCTTGGTAGCTGGGAGGCACTTCCAAGGCAACAGCAACCATTCCAGGGTTTTCGTGGTTAGCACTCATTTCTTTGGTCTGATCAGGAGGAAAAGATCATCTGGGAAAGTGTCAGAGACTCAGACCCCCTCTACACATCCACCCTTGCCTGCCTCTCCCACCCCCACGAGCCCCGAGCCTGGGTCAAGCATGAGAGCCCATTGCTAATTGCATTGAACCTGATTTCATATTAGTGTGGGGTGTTACTATACCTGGATATGGAATTACTATGTTTTAGAGAAAGCACGCCTTCAACTTTATAAAGTACTGCCAAATTGTTCTCCTGAATAGTTACACCAATTTACACTCCCACCTGTAACGTATGAGTTCCTGCTTTCACACATCCTTGGCAACATCTGGTGTTTGCAGACTTTATTTTTTCCAATCTTATGGGTGTGAAGTGGTGTCTCATTTTTGGCTTTAATTTGCATGTCTTCACTATTGAGCATCTTTTCATATGTTCGTTGGTCATTTGGGTTTCCTCTTCTGTGAATTCACTGTTCATATCTTTTGCCTTAAAAAAGTGGTTACCCTTCTCAATGTATAGGAGTATTTTATATACTGAGTACCACCTTTTCTTTCGTCCTATACATTGCAATACCTTGTCCCAATCTATGGCATTTTTGTTTATTCTTTTGTATAAGCTTTATGTATGCAAATCTTTCAGGCTTTTCCTTGATGGCACATGATTGTGTGTCTTCTTTAGGAAGTATTTCCCCATCAGGGCACCTGGGTGGCTCAGTCAGCTAAGCCTCCGACTCTTGTTTTCAGCTCAGATCATGATCTCAGGGTCATGAGATTGTGCTGAGCAAGGAACCTGAAACGGGGCTCAGAGTCTGCTTAAGATCCTTTCTTCCTCTCCCTCTACCCCTCCCCCTGCCGACACCTGTGCACACGCTCTAAAATAAAACCTTAAAAAAAAAAATCTCCCCATCCTAATGTATGTCCTATAATTTCTTTTAAAAGTTTCACAGTATTTTTCATATTTAAATCTTTGATCTACAGTTTATTTTTGTGTATGGTAGGAGATAAAAATACAGTTGTTTTCCATATAATCAGTTGCCCTAGGACCCTGGTAAATGGTCCATCTTCACTAATTTCTAATGTCACTTATACACATGTATTACCTTCAGCTCACTCTTGTTATATGTTTTGTTTTTTAATCTTTGCCTGTACCAGTATAACCTTGATTGGATTTCTGTAGTTTTATACTACGTATTGCAACTAACAGGAAAGTTCTTCCTCTTTTGTTCAATATTGCTTAACCATTCTGGTCTTTTGTTTTCTCATAGTCATTTTAGGATGAGCCTCTCAGGTTCCCTGAAAATCCCTTTGAGGACTTTTATTGGAATTGCAGTGGACTTACAGATTAATCTGACAATTGCCATCTTCATAAATAAATAAGAGTCTCGCCATCCATGAAAATGATACATTATTGTTCCTTTCATTCAGGTCCTCACTTATGCCCTTCAATACGGGCTTTCCATTTTGATTTGCTCCATAAAGCTCCTGTCTATCTTTTCCTCTTTAGATTTTAGTTTTTGTTACTTTCACAAATGGGATTTTTTTTTTTTAAGATTTATTTATTTTAGAAAGAGAGCAAGAGTGAGAGGCAGAGGGAGAGAGAAAATCCTGAAGCAGACTCTCTGCCGAGCACAGAACCTGACACAGGGCTTGATCCCAGGACCCTGAGATCATGACCTGAGCTGAAATCAAGAGTCAGCTACTATTTAATTGACTGAGCCACCCAGGTGCCCCTACAAATGGGATTTTTTAGTTAAAATTTTAAATTGGTTTGCTAGTGTAGAGCAATACAAATTTTTGAACTAGAACCTCGTATCTTCAATGTAATAACATTGTCCAAGAATATTGTCTGTATAATACAGTTTCTTGCTGTCTGTTGTAATCTGTTCTGGGGCCTAGTACATAGCCAGTTTCATGAATCTTCCACATGTATTTGAAATGATTTTCTCATTTTGTGCAGGTTTCTGTGTATGTCCATTAGGTCAAGCTTGTAAGTGATTGCCCTAGTTATCTGTATTCTTAGTACATTTTCTGCTTCATCATTCAACTGATATTTTCTTTCTACTAATCCAGTCATCTTTTGCATTACTCCTTTGGAGACTCAGTTCACAGTTATAGCATCCTTGTGAATTCTCTTTTTACTATTATTTGATAGCTTTTTTGTCCTTCTAACGTTCTTACATGAAAATATACATTCATAGAGCTTTCCAAGTTTTCTTTAGCTACAAATGATAGAAAACTTGCCTACAGTTTCTTATATTGAGAGGAAATATTTTTTTCTCAAATAACAAGGTAAGAGATCGGTGTGGATCCATCTGCTCAGAAACCCAGGCTCTTCGTATGTGTCTGTGTATCGTTCACACTGTGACACCTTTCACCCTCTTGCTGGCTTCCTCCCTGTGAGGTATTGTTGGGTGGGGGCGCGGGGCGGGGGGCCGTGGGGCAAAAGGAGAGGGCAGTAACGACCTTTGCCGTCAGTAGCAGGTGGGATAATACCTGTTTCAGCATCTAGAGAATCTTTGTCCCATGACTGTAAATGATTTGCTGTTGCCACACATCTTGTGAACATTCTTTGCAGAAATGGAAGATCTTATCTTCTGAGTCAGATGTGACCATTTCCCTTCCCACGTGAAGTCACCAGGGAGAAAGTGCTGATGCAGTTCTCTCTTTAGAGCCAGAAACAGTTAAATGCTCAGGCCTCAGGAAACCACGTGTCAATAACGACTAGCAAGGCGCACAATATACTTAGATTTCAAAGCATTAATACAAAATAAAAATATGGTCAGGTGTCAGTGAATGTTTGTATTTAGGAATAATATGTATAGTCTCTCAAGAGATGCTACCAGTCTTTTCTGTAGTTTTTCGGAAGCCTGATTGTAGTATTTTCTATGAAACTCAGCATCACTGTGTCATTTGCTGGGGCACTGGCAGGGCCATCGAGCAGCCTGAGTTACCTAGGAACCAGGACCTCAAACTCCTTCCCTTATCCCTCCCTCTGAAACTTCCACTGCATCTGAGTCCACCTGTCACCTTGCCCCAGAACATTCTCTAGAACAGGAACAGTCTATGTGGTTTGCATTTATAGGCTTCAGGATCTACAAAGCAAGCTGGGCTTTCTGTTTTGTCCTTGAAATGATTATTTAGATGGTTCTAGTACTTCCCAAGGGGTCTAGTAGAATACGTTAATACACCTAATATTTGATTTGTGCTAAAAATTAACAGAGCATTGACTTACCTTATTTCCTTCACACCGAGGAGTAAAGAATATCTGTCTCCATTATGGAGCTCAAGCTGCAAAAAAATACAAAAAAAAACAGTTGTTATATTCAAAGCAGGAGACTGTTTCTTTTAAAAACATTAGATTCAGTGTTAATTTTTGAATTACAAGGTTAAAGTGCACAGGCAGAGCCTGGTGCTAGCTAAGTATTTACTGAGTGACTACACTTTCGTCCGAGCGTTTTCTTGTAGGCGCTAAGACTGCTTAATCCAACTTTGAGTGCCCTTTTGTCATCATTAATCCTTGTCTGACACAATATTGTTAAAACCAGGTGTCTTTTCATTAAAGGACATGGGAAGTGTTTCTTACAGGCAATTAAGCACTGTGAACATGATTTTCCGTTGATAGATTTTTTTTCTAGGTGACTTTTTCACATTTGACTGAAGTTTCTGCTTGTGGTGGAGACCCCTTCCTTTTCTCCCCCATCCTGATGAAAACTTTCAGACTAGTTAACCTTTACAACTTGACGCTGGAAAACCTCTTTTCTTTATTCTCCCCACAAGAATGATCCCAATTTTCATGTTTCCTCACAGATTTTCCGCTTTCCAGGTTCTCTGTGTTTCCCTGAGCTGTACAACTCCATCTTAAATTTGAAGTCCATTACTATTGTAATTAGGTGGTCATTTCTGCTGACAAAATTGAATCAAGTTGAATTTAGATTTTGTTGTGTCTTATGTGTTCTAAAATCATCTTTCAGCCATGGAAACAAAGAAGTATTTTCCTGCCGGGGAATCAAATTGGCAGTGGATTGGTTTTTGGAAAGAGGCCACAAAGATGTTACAGTTTTTGTTCCGGCTTGGAGGAAAGAGCAGTCCCGGCCTGATGCTCTCATCACAGGTGAGCCCTGGGAGCGGTCTGGTCGTAGCTTCAGATGTACCCGGGCAGGTCATCGGACGCCGTCAGACGTTGCGCTGATGAAGATGATGTCCATCAGCTCTCTGATGATAAGGAAACAGTAATCCTTGCTCCATAAACCAATGGTTTGGGGTTTTTTGTTTTCTTTCTGCAATTTGGAAGCTTTTCACTTCAAATTTCGTAAAATTTTGACTTTGGGACATGCGTAGGAGTCAGGAGACCTAGATTAAAATTCTGGTTTTGCCACTTACTAGCCATTGGACTTTGAGCAACATGCTTGGACCTCGGTTTCTCTTTCTGCAATACGAAGTCAGTGACGTAGTTCACAACAGACCTGCAGGACCCTGGAGCTCTGCTCTCTGGGGTCAAGTAGAAGGAAGGGACTCCATCTCAATACAGTGTCTGTATTTTGTGTTATTTTGTAATTTTAAAATGTATGCGTTTCAGGCACAAACTGTTAATGATTGTTGCTGAAGTTAACCCTTCCTGCCCCTCTGCCCACCTCCAACATTAACAAAAACTGAGGAACTTGTGTGAAGAAAACTATACTTTTCAAATCAAAAACAGAGACCACAGACCACATACCTGAAGGGAAGATTAACCTTTAAGTCATTACTTGAGCCAGGGTAGGAATAGATAGGCAAGACATGGTGGAGTCCAGAGCTGTGGAGTCACCCTAGTCTGTATAAACTGTAAAGGGAAGAAGGTGCCAGAATTCAACCAGGAGCACCAAGACATTAGATAACTCTTGGAAAAAATACACATATTTAGATCCTTATCTTCCACCATATAACAGTAAATTCCAGATGGTTGAGGAATTGTCAAAAACACTAGTCTTTGAATGGCTGGGGAAAACTTTAGTAAAGTTAAAATTTTTGGAGGAAATTACAAGATAATTTTCATTGCATGAAAATCTAAACTTCCGTATTTGGGGAAATTTTCTTTAAAATGAGAACTTTTATTTGCCTAAGGGGAAAAATATACAACAAATAAAGAATCCATGTCCTTAACATCTAAAGAGCTCGTAGACGCTGGGAAAACAAACACAGAGCTCTCCCCAGCATACAAATGGTAACGTGGTAGGAACAGACAGCTCACAGAATGCAGGTGCCCAATAAGAGAAAAAAATTCAGCCTCATTAGCAGTTCAAGAAATGACAAATTTAAACAACTCTTGTATTTCACCCATCAAATTAGCAGATTGAAAAACTGGTAAGCCTCCGGGACCTCTTCCTTCACTGCTGTGGAAACGAATTGATACAACCTTTCTAAAAAATAGTTGGGTCTTAAAATATTAATATTCTTGGATCTACTAGTTCCCCTTCTAGGCATAATTCCTCAGAAAATAAGCAGAGTTACAGGCAAAGATTTAGAACCACAAAGACATCCAGTGCATTATTATTGAAATTTATATTCACTAGAATGGTTTGAGAAGTTAGAATATGTATTAGAGTATTTAGGCAGAATTTCTAATGATCTGAGGAAGTGCCCTTTTCCATAGAAGTTTTATTATTGTGTGCATGTACACATATGCATATTTATACCTAGACCAATGATGGCAAGAACAGAATACACAAAAAATGACTAGAAGGAAATATGCCAAAGTATTCACAGTAATTGACTCTGTGTCGTGACTTTGAGGTCTTTCTCCCTACTTCTGAGTATTTTCCCTTACTTTCTTAATTTTGCTTAAGGAACTTAGAATATTTTTAATAATCAAGGGGAAAATAAATCGAAAAAGAGAAAACAATATTTAAACATGTAAATGACTGGAAAGCTTGAACATGAAAGGAACAGGAGCCCAAGAAGGGAAAAGGATCATGGGCATGGCAGGTGTGTCTGAGTTTAATTTTTAAAATACCAGCACACCAGGGCTCTGGAATGCATCAGGATGCAGTGTGCTTTGTAAACTGCATTCAGCTCCACTTGACCCTCGAACAACACAAGTTGGAACTGCCTGGGTCCACTTATAAACGGACTTTTTACCGCATAGTGCTGTAAGCATATTTTCGCTTATGATTTTCTTCATAATAAGAATACAGTATAGAATACATATAACACAAGACGTGGCTTCCATGCGGTGGTTAAGTTCTGGGGGCTCAAAAGTGAGGGGGTCAGCACCCTAACCCCTGCCTTAAGGGCTGCTCAAAGGTCCGGAGCTGTTTTCTCCCCCTGGGTAATAATTCTAACTAAAACCTTCAACCAGATAAAACCTGGTAAATTGAATAGTCCATTATTTTTTCACTGTACAAAAAAGGAAACTTGACCCATATTTCAGGCTCTCCCATAGAGATTCAGACTAGCACTTTTTCCAGTGAGGTAACACCGATTTCATAAGCACAAAGCTCTGTCTCGGGTGCTGTGCTAGGAATTAGAGATTCAGTTCAACTTACTAGCCATACTGAACCCGTATCTATTTAAGTTAGGATTATTTGTACTGATTGGCTATTCTTTTTACCTCATTAGCTATTCTAGAAAAAGCAAATGAAGCGAGATGATGTTGACCCTTAGGCCACCACACTTACTTCTCTAATAGCTTTGTGGCATATCGTGTATGAGTAAACACTGCCACAAATAAAGTAGCATGGCTTATTCATGAACATAGGCGCCAACCTGGGATCCATCTCTAAGTACCCCATGCATTCATTCTACAGACGTTTACTGAGTATCTCCTGCTGTGCTTCCTGGGCCGAGTGCTAATGGAAATAAAGATAAACATTTTGAGGGCAGGGACCACGTTTCATTTATCAGGGCAACACACAAAAATAATTATAACATGACAAATCCTATAGTTGAGACTGAGCTTTTCAGTTTGTCCTGGTTTTCTGTGATTAAGAGATCAACAGTTACATCTGTTAAAATTCAGTTGAACAGTGTTGAGAACTTGCTAGGCTCTGTGCTAAGTGCTTACGTACGTGACGGCTCCCTGACTTCCAGCCTCCTGACTGCCTCAGAGGCTCAATAAGGGATGACTGCCAGATATAGAAAATGCCAGAACCTGAGGTTTCCCCATAATTTGCTGCTTCTAATACCCACAGTTCCTCCAGTTCTGCTCTGGTGCGCTTCTAAACCAGTGTTCTGGTCCTGATGAAATCATGTCAGGAACATCATGAAGTCTATATGCCAGCTTCGGAGCCAGCCGACCCCTAATCCCTCCCTGTTCCCTCCAAGGGACCCTGGCTCATCCCCAGTACCCTGTTGTGGCGATCACAGCCCTTGCTTACCTAATTTGCGTGTCTGTCTGGTGACTGACACCTTCTCAAGGAGCGGTCATTCTTAATGTTGGTGACCATTAATACTTGGCACGCCATACCTGGTCCCTGAAGACAGATTTTTTAAAAATTAGCAATTGCAGTTAATAAACATGGAGAAGTAGCTTTTCTTTCCTTTTTTTTTTTTTTTTTTTTTCCTTTTTAATCATGACCCTCCTGACTCTGGGCCAGAATATACAATGGTGGGAAGACAGGAGGTAGAAGAGCCCAAGTAGGAAGAAGGGATGGTGGAGAGAGAACTTTTATCATTAATCAAAATAGGAATGCCAGCACCTTTAAAAACAAAACAAACCAAACCAAACCCCCACTAAACAAGTCAGAGTTACAAAGTGCTGAAGAACACGCCCACAGAAGACAAGGAGTGTTCCTCTAACTAGCCTTACTCCGTCTGGGCAGCTTTCCCCTCTCCTCACATCTGAGCCCTTCCTCAAGCAGTCCACCCTGTGAGGATGCTGCCCTTGTTGCCACGTGTTTCCTAGGAAAGGACCCGAAACAGGTGAGGGTCATGTCTGTAGCGACCGTTCTGCCTCCACTCTGTCCTCCATGAAACTTCCGCATCGTAAGACTCTTCCCCTGCCACCTCAGGGGCCTCTACTAGTGCTCCTCAAACTCTCCCCCATCACCTCCACTCGTCAGAAAACAGAAGAACAAAATAAACGGGCTTTGGCGGGGGGAGGACGCGGGCGCCCCTGAACCCCACACAGCTGCGTTGTCAGAATGGCGTAATGAAAAACATCACTGAGCAAATGGATGTTTATTCTGTTAAAGTTTTAAACCATTTTTAATGACTTTGGGGGCTATGTTTAAAGCTGTTATTATTGCAATCCTCAGGGAAAAAATATTGGGAATTAAAAATGTGTTCTATCTGCAAACTGTAAATCATAATCCCTAATGAAATGAGGGCATAAATCCAGTTCCTCTCATAAAAGCTCACGTTGTATGCAAGTTGCCCCACGTGTTACGTCTGTACTTACTCGTGAAATTCTGCCCCGATCGTCCTTGCAGATCAAGAAATTCTGCGAAAATTAGAGAAGGAGAAAATCCTGGTATTCACACCATCCCGACGAGTCCAGGGCAGGCGGGTGGTGTGCTATGATGACCGGTTCATCGTGAAGCTGGCTTTTGAGTCAGATGGGATCATTGTGTCCAATGACAACTACAGGGACCTGGCAAACGAGAAACCGGAGTGGAAGAAGTTCATAGATGAGCGATTGTTAATGTACTCCTTCGTCAATGACAAGTAAGTGAACCCGTTCACTGACGGTGGGGGGGGAGGGTTCCTGCTTCCCTGCATGCAGCGGCCTCGCTGCGCCTGCCACGGGCCACACCCAAGTCACATCTCTTCCCGCAGCCCCTCAGCCTGCTTCCCCTCTGATCCCCGGGCCGGCGAGGGGGAGGGGGGTCGGGAATCCGTGCGGGAGGGACAGGCCCCTGCGCTGTAGGACGCGAACATGGCACATCTGTCAGAACGGACAGGGACGGTTCTGGAACATATCGACCCCCCAAAACACTGCCTTTCAAAATCTACCTAGAGCCTTGATCACTTAAATCTATTTTTAAAATACATGATTTTTGTAAATATTACACCAGTGGTAAGACTCCAGTCATGATTAAGTTGATAAATGGGCAGAGAACAATAAAAAGCAGGTCTCCTGAGAAATAAGTGTATTTCCAAAATGGGGGGAAATTCACCTGTTGATAATCAAAAATGTGAACTAAATTTACAAAGTACATATTTTTTCACCCATTTAAATCACAAAAATATTTTTGCATGTGCTCTGTGCTGTTAAAGATAGAGTGAAACTGCTCACACAGTTTGGCGTGGGTCAACAGAAGCCTTGGAAATACGTATACCTTCTCAGGCCCATCATCTCCTTTCTGGGAATATATAGTCTGAGGAGAAAAAGACCAGATATGTTCATTTCTGTATTTTTTATAATTGCAAGAATTCAGAGGCAGCTGAAGGTACAACAGAGAAATCGGTTAAGCCGCTCTGCATCTAGCAGAATATTTTCAGCTCTTCAGCATTATGAGTATAAAGGCTATTGAGAAACATGGAAATTTGTTAGAAAGACAAAACAAAATAATATTTGTGTTTGGGAAATGTGTATGCATACAGAAATGACTAAAATGCAACACATAAATGGAAAATAGTTGTATTAAGATCGTAGGATTGAGTTACTCTTCTGTTCTTAATGTTGCCACATTGTTTTAACAAATAGTAAACACCGTATTTGCTAAGTGTTCTTAGCCACGTTGACACTCCCTTAACATTGTTCACGTTTCCTGGGTAACTCCTTGGCCCATTTCAAGTTCCAGCATTGACATAATGAGTAGAACTCTTCAGTTGTAACTTCTTCCTGTTAGGCTCTGCATGCCGTGAACTCTTGGATCCGGGAGATTTTTTCCATCTCTCTGCTGAGGCGCAAAGAGAGTGGGCTGTGGGGTTCGATGCGGAATCTCAGCTGTGCAGTGTGAACTAAGATCAAAGTCACTTAATTAGGAAAGTGTATTAATCTGCAAAAATTAATTGCAGGGCCCAAAAATTAACCTGAAGGGCCCACTGTCAGGAAGAAAGGAGAGGGGGTATGCACGTTCCCAGGCCGGGAGCGGGGTTGGTCCGGTGTCCGTGTTCCTGTTCACTGCTCCTCGCTTACCCGGCCTCTATACTTGACAAGATCGAGGCTCACGGAATCCCCCTAAAATGGCAGTGTGTTGTTTTCTGAAGTCCTTACAAAATCCTGAGCATGACAGGAAGAAAGAATTCATGAGAACATGCAAGGCTCAAAACTTACTTGACTAAAAACCAATACAAGTTCGGCTTGACACATTTTACTTTTGTGTTCATTAAGAAAATTCTGTGTACTGAGATTTTTTACCCCATAAATGCTGAGTCAAAATACTTGATTAAAAATGTTTTAAAGGCCTTAGAGTGAATCAGTCTCTTACCTTCTGTCTTCGGAATTAAATGATCAGCCTCCTACATCACTTTGTATTCTTTCCCTGACAGGTTCATGCCCCCTGATGACCCGCTTGGCAGACACGGCCCAAGCCTGGATAATTTTCTGAGGAAGAAACCTATTGTTCCTGAACACAAAAAGCAGCCTTGTCCATACGGTAACTTTCCTTGTAATTATTTAACATACGCCTTCAGAATACAGTCTGTTGTTAAACTTTTGGTAATAAAAATAAACATGTTATATTTTGGATGGCATAGTACGTAGTTCTTTGAATTGTAATTAAACATCTTAGCCGTGGAAAAAAAAGTAATTATTTTTACCTAGTTGGGTTCTATGCAAATGCATTTCCCAGAGTTAAAACATGGGTTCCAAAAACTCCGCTTAATCAGGCAGGTACAAATGTGTTCTGACATCGAGCTACACCTCAGATGGGCAGGGGTTTAGCGCACTACCGCAGTACATTTTGCTCTTCAGAACAGAAGGTCCTGATTGTGAAGCCAGACTGGAAGCGGATGGGCAGGGAGGAGTTGAGGACACAGGGTATGGTATTAACCTACACCTCTGGAGGTGACTCAATCGCCCAGCCAGTGTGTCGGTCACTCTAGAGAGGACCGAAGCGGGGAGGACTGCAAGGGAGCAGGTCTCCAGAGGAAGGGACAAAGGAGCGACTTAGCTTACCTTCCATTTCTGCCTTTGTTTCTCTCACAAGTTAAAACCCTGAGCTGCCAGGGTCTGGTGGAACGCTCCTTTGCCTAACTAATCTTCCTCTTCGTAGGAAAGAAGTGTACCTATGGACACAAGTGCAAATATTACCACCCCGAGAGGGGCAGTCAGCCACAGCGGTCAGTGGCCGATGAGCTTCGTGCCATGTCTAGAAACACCGCGGCCAAAACCGCCAACGAAGGAGGACTGGTGAAGAGCAACAGTGTTCCCTGCAGCACGAAAGCGGACAGCACTTCCGATGTCAAACGAGGTGCTCCAAAGAGGCAATCGGACCCAAGCATAAGGACCCAAGTCTACCAAGACCTAGAGGAAAAGCTTCCCACCAAAAACAAATTGGAAACCAGGTCTGTACCTTCTTTAGTTAGTATCCCGGCTACTTCTACTGCAAAACCCCAAAGCACTACATCTCTAAGCAATGGCCTTCCATCTGGAGTTCACTTCCCACCTCAGGATCAAAGACCACAGGGACAATATCCTCCAATGGTGATGGCAACCAAAAATCATGGAACGCCAATGCCTTACGAACAGTATCCCAAATGCGACTCGCCTGTTGACATCGGATACTATTCCATGTTGAATGCATATTCAAATCTGAGTATCTCAGGCCCACGCAGTCCTGAAAGGCGTTTCTCCCTGGACACAGATTACAGGATCAGCTCTGTAGCTTCTGACTGCAGCAGTGAAGGGAGCATGAGCTGTGGGAGCAGTGACTCCTACGTGGGGTACAACGACCGGTCCTACGTCAGTTCTCCTGACCCTCAGCTGGAAGAGAATCTCAAGTGCCAACACATGCGCCCGCACAGCCGCCTTAACTCCCAGCCCTTCCTGCAGAATTTCCACGACCCCTTAGCTAGAGCTCAAAGCTACAGTCACGAAGAACCAAAGTACCATCACAAGCCTCCTCTGCCACACCTGGCCGTGCATCTGCAGCACCCAGCCGTGGGGGCCCGGTCCAGCTGCCCCGGCGAGTACCCCTCCCCTCCGAGTTCCGCGCACCCGAAGGCACCCCACCTGGGCCGCTCCCTCGTGGCCACACGAATAGACAGCATTTCGGACTCCCGGCTGTACGACAGCTCTCCTTCCCGACCGAGAAAGCCTTACTCCCCCCAGGAAGGGCTGGGAAGCTGGGATCGGCAGAGCTACGGCGTGGACGCGTACAGCTACCGGCAGACTTACTCCTTGCCCGACAGCTCCACGCAGCCGTGCTACGAGCAGTTCACCTTCCAGAGCCTGCCCGAGCAGCAAGAGCCGACGTGGCGCATGCCGTACTGCGGGATGCCACCAGATCCTCCAAGGTACCAAGACAACCGAGAGAAGATTTACATCAACTTGTGCAACATCTTCCCCCCTGACCTTGTGAGAACTGTCATGAAGAGGAACCCTCACATGACAGACGCCCAGCAGCTCGCCGCGGCCATCTTAGTGGAGAAGTCACAGCTGGGCTATTGAAAGATGATGCATCTTTGTGGTGTTTAGTAGTTTTTTGTTCAGCTCAAATGCTGAGGGAGGTTTGCTACAATAGCACACGTGATCTCCTTCTCGGCAAGGAGGTTATCTAGTATCCATTTATGTGAAATACTGTATCATGGAATCTGTATGTATAGCCCCACGTAGTGGAAGTATCACGGGATTGCTTTACATTCAAACTTTTTTTTAAACATTTCCTTTTTAAAGCTCTCTCCTTGGCTGGAAATTTTTCCAGTTTGATTTATTAGATGTCTCTGTGATCTTTGATATTAATCTTTGGTGCATCAGGGGTTTATATGCAGCACTTTTTATCCTTGTTTCGTGTTTTATTAACTTGGTGTTTGTCTATCAATTGCAAGCAATTACAATACTTTCAGAATGTCGAACATTTGACGAGACCCTAGCCGACTATTTTTGCAAGCCAAGCTTAATTGGAATCTTTTACAGCTTTTTAAGTTATTTTTATTTGGGGGAGGTGGGCTTCTTTGTGCTGTAATCATTATTTATAGAAACAAAGATATACGACAGCACTGACTTTATATTTTAAACAAAATGTAAGTTACCGGTTTATATGGAAATGGGTAACAGTCTATATTAGAATGATTTACAACATGGCACTTTTCATTGTTTTATTTTTGTTCGGGTTTTTTTTTCTGTTAAGTAATTAGTTAATTTAATACGGTTGACTTAAAGGAAAGCAGATGCAATCAATGGAAAAAATTGTTTCCATTTTTTTTTTTTAACGAGTAAGGCAAAAGCCGTAACTATTCCAGTTTAGAGCTTTGTTATCCAGCTATGATGTGCTTCTAGACGGTAGAAAATGGAACTGAATTCCCAGATTCTCATTAACCTGTATTTTTAATGTGTTCGTCCTTCTTGTTTCGGGGCACAACAATACTGGATAAAAGAACCCTTTCACAGTACTTGCCTGTTTTTAATGAATCTAATTATTCTCAATGCAACTTTTATATTTAATATACTCTTTAGCGTTCCCGCTATTTATCAAGGCTGGCCTGAGGTGGGTGTATGTGTTGAGGATATGCAAAATTTATCGATACTGCACTATAGGAATGGTGGTGGTGGAGGTGTTGTAAGTGGTAACTTAAAAATGTTTGTAAGATACTGTATATTTTCCATTTTCCTGAAGGTAGTTTTTTGGGGGGCCTGTTATATTATTAAGGCCAGATTCTTGCCACAAATAGTGTAGTTTTAGCTACAGACTAAAGTCTGTTCTAGTATTAGTAAGGGATATTTCTGGTTTCAGAGTCACGGGTTTTGCTAGATGCGAATTCATTTTTGTCCTCAGCAGACAGACCCCGCATTGAGGGGCAGTCGGGTGCCTCACATGACTTGACTGTTGCCTCCAGGCTCCGAATTTCACTTCGTGCGACAGACTCCTCCTGATCTGTGTCTGCCGTCTGCCTCGATGCCCGGGGTATTCCGACCATTCTCCATGCTGCAGTTTGAAGGAAAGCCCTGAAAAGCCAGAAAGTACCTTTTACTGTTGATACAAATTGTATCTTTTTAACTATAAGAACTATTTTGATTTGTAGATCTAGTGAAAACACAAATGTGTAACTATGATTAGACTTTTGGGCAACATTTTATCCCTTATTTAAATACAAAATTTTAAAGTAAAATTGAGGTCTAGGATAGGGTAGAAGATAAAAGTAACAATTTAGGTAAGTAAAAGTGTCTGTCTTAGTTCTATAGAATATATTAAAATATATTAAATACATTTATTGGCATTTTCTTTCTCCTAAAACTTATCTAGCGAGAACTTAAAAATAAAGGTAAAATGCTGCCTGAAAATAATGTCCAAGCACCTTTGACTAGGATAACATTTTCACTACTTGTGTGACACTGTGTGTTGCATGAAGTAGGATTTGGGTATACAGTAAATGCTTCTAAAAGGCATTGTGCATATTGACATATCCAATAATCTGAACCGTGTTCAGCAAACTTAATTCAGGAAAGTGGTGTTCTACACAATTATTCTGTTGTTGAGGTGAGTGTGGCCCTCCTCTGTACCCAGAAACCATGCAGACGGTGCCACGCAAACCATTCTGAGTGATGTCTGGGTGCGACCCTGCTCACTTTGTGAATCTCTTCTCCGATTTCGTCCGTCACTCTCTGTAGAACAAGTTTAAGTGTAGAAGTAAACTAGTGCCAAAAATAGGGTTACAGATGTGGAGTACCATTTATTTTAGTCATGTTCTAAGCCTTTTTTTTTTTTTTTTAGCATGAAATCCTTTTTAAATTGTAGGTTTTGCTCCTATTTTCTTCATGTTAGCGTTTTCGCTATCTGAAGACTCTGCCAAACTTTACTAAATCTATTTCAGGAAGATCTTCAGTGACTTGTGTATCATACTTTCAGTCTGAGCTTCTCATGTTTTTAGCTAACTATTTGTCATTTTCTCGTGGATTTTTAAACCATGGAAAAAGAGTGTAGCTCGCCACTACCTGTCCTGAAGTGAATAGCTCTAAACTGCTCTCACTGAAATCCTTCAGTATAATGAAATGACCTGTGAGTGAAGAAATACCAGTTTTCTTAGGTCAAGAGAACAACGTGTCCCCTCCCCCCCCTTTTTTTTGTTTTCAAGCACCCATGTTGCTTTCAGAGCTTAAGAATGAGATATTTGGCAGACTTTAGATACAGCAAATCCTTAATTCTCTCAAGCAATAAGTAAAAGGATCCATCACTAAATTAAATCCATAGCTGATCCCAAACCTTCATTGCAGCCAAAACTTTCACCTTAATCTTTTACCAGATTTGCTAGCAGATAACTGGAGAGGGAGGTGTTAGCAGAGAAACCGCCCAGAGCGGTCAACTGATAGAAGAGAAAGAATTCAGATTGGAGCATTTGGCCCCTGACTGACAGTTGGCTGTACTTTACCCAGTAATGAGCCAGTGCACGGTCTCTGTGTCTCAGTACAGAGGGAGTAGCATCCAGCGGGCCGACTGTTGGCCCGCACGGCTTCCTCCCTGCACGTGATATGTCCGTTTTCCGTCCGTTTACGATCTCTGTATCCTGATAGAGTTTGTCATTGACCTCAACATTTGAAAGAAACGCACACCAGTATCAAATGTGTGATACTGGTAGAAACTTGAACTTTGTGCTTTTATGAAATTTCCTTTATGAGAATATGTAATATAACTTAAAAAAAAACATTTTTATATGTATATATACATACATGCCTACATACTTGTCAAAGTATTAAAAACGGGAGAGGGTGTTACGCTATTGGTGTCCGACCTTCCCTTGGCTGAACTATGTCTGAGTTGTGGAGGACCAAGCCTGCAGCCCAGGTGACCAACGATAAGATTTTAGAACCACTTGAATGGAAAGCAACTCCTCAGTGGTTTTATTCCTGGTATTTTTAAAGAGTTATTTTGATAATTTTAATAGAATGTGTAATTTTAAAACACAAAAAACTTAAAGTAGTATTGATTATACAGATATTTAACATGTCTTTTACGGATGTATCTATGTATATGGACAGTAATATATATTTATGAAACAAATACACTTTGATTATGTTGTAGCTATTAGTTTGTGATAGGCTAGATAGGGCTCTGGATGTGTGTGTGTGTGTGTGTGTGTGTGTGTGTGTGTGTGTTTTGAAAACTCTCGAGCTGTTTTTCCCCCCGATTTAATGGCACTGACCGAAGGTATATTTGTTTTCATTCTCATTTTTGCTACCCAACTGACTTACGCAAGATGAGCCAGTTCCTAGGTATACACCCACAAATAAAATGAAGTGTAAAACCCATGAACTACACACGGGCATTAGCATCAGAGAAAGCGAGTTAATCCAAGCTAGAGAAGCACGCATTATTTCAGATCGGCCTGGGAAACTCCCTAGGCCCGGGACTGACCAACTTTTTCGGTCAAGGATCAGGCAGTAACTAATCCAGGCCTTGAGAATCATCTGGTCTCTCTAAACTGCTCATCTCGGCTGGTACAGCACAAAAGCAGCCGCGGATGAGAAAGTAAATGAGCAGTGTGGCCATGCGGCAATAAAACTTTACTTAGCCGCAGGCTAGCTGGGCTGGTGGGCGGAGTTCGCGCCTCCCTGCCCCCGAGGGAGAAAACCCAGGATTATTAAGCCGGAAGTCCTGATACCTGTTAATATAAGAAACAAGAACTGTTTCAGTTGACATTCAAAGACAGTGTTATTACTGATGGCCTTCAAAGGATTGCAAAACGGTCCTATTAAAGCATCCTAATTCCCTTGTTTATTCTGTCGTATCCGTTACTTATTAGAGATACTCCTGTGTTTAACTGCACACCCAAAAAAAAGCATTCTGACAACAGATGTTTTAATAAGTATTGAAATTTTTTCATGAACTTTGTATTTCTCTTGACAAACGGGAATACCTTACCTACATTTAGTTTTTTAAGGGCCTCACGGACCAAAAATTCTGTTGTATTTTAAAAATTAGCATGGAATTAGCCACAAAATATTTTAAAGACTGCATTTGTCAGTTACATCTTTATGCTGGTTTTTTGACTTCTAAAAAATGACAGATGTGCCCTTCTTTAAAAATGGTTTTAAAGGAGATAAATATATTGTAATTTCACATACTATAGCTTTATTCTGTAAGATTAAAAATTGTGACTAGTGTAATTGTAGCTATAATGTGCATTTGCTGTATTGTGACTTAAGAAACCAAGCGTATCCCTGCTTTCCCTGTCCAAACCTTTAGTATAGATCTTTTTAGACACCTTAGGACTGTCCTTGGTGAATGATATTCTTGATCATGTGTGATTTTAAATTCATTGAAACTACACACTGTTGAGCGTGTTCATTCACAGTGCTTTATAAACTGTGTTAACATTACAATATTATTTCTGTAAGAACATTAAATAGTTTTGAACATTACCATCCACTTCAGTTATACTTTTAAAATTGGAATACAACTCTAGCTTTTTAACAGTATTTACAGTTTAAAATGGTTATTTTTTTTTCTTTAATGCCATCTGTTCACCCGCTCTTTGTTGCAGTAACACTTTACATGTTAGGAGGAGCTTTTCCCTATGGTCCCTAGTCTTGAGATTTAAAAACAATTTAAGGTTTTGAGCATTTGGCAGTTAAAACTTTTTTGAAAAGTCTGTCCATCTATTAATTTAGTTTATAAAATTTGTAAAACTTCACTTTTAAACCATGTACCAAATCTGCCAAGTGTCTGTATAAAATATTTTGGTTGAATAACAAATTGTTGTCCATTAAAGCTTTTGATCCCTCTCTCAAAGCAGTTTGTGTCTCAAGGGGAAAAAAAAACACTGAAAAGCAATGGCTTGTTTTTACATAGTATATGTTTTAGATTTTCTTTGGTTTTTTGAAATTACAGGTTTTCTACATAATACAGAATACCCACAAACAGACAGACCTCCTCAGAGACATAAACCCAGTGCTGCTAGTGAACCAGATGGCTGATCTCATCATTTCCTGTTGGTTGTTCCCCCACTCCCACCCCCCAGACCCTAGTCCCGTGCTGATGGAATTTCCAATTTGGTTCCTCAGATTTTTCTTATAGGAAAATAAGGTATAGAATGTTTAGAACAACCATCTGACAAACTGATATGATTCTATTTATCCTCTGTTCTCTGTGTTTCTGTAATGGAATTTTTACAACTCCAAAAAGCAGTATTTTAGACCTACTGGAAATCCATATCAGAACAGTGATGTGAATTTGCCACTGAGAAAAAAAAATTAAAAATTTCATTTTTTTTTATGGTGGTTTGTTTTTGTGTCATGAAGCAGTTGACTTCCTGCAGCAGCACAGATGCTAAATAATCAAGGGCACCTTTCTCTTGCTTACATCCAGTAGTTAAGAACATAGGATATGCACATGTTCATTACCACCGTGTTAGAGCCATCATTAACTCATATGGAAACTGGAATTAAAAGCCAAAGA